CCCTTCTGAAGTTCGGTCTCCACCAGCTGAAGTCTCTTCTGAAATTCGACCTCCACCAGCTGAGGCCCCTTCTGAAGTTCAGCCTCCACCAGCTGAAGCCCCTTCTGAAGTTCGGCCTCCACCAGCTGAGGCCCCTTCTGAAGTTCAGTCTCTACTAGTTGAGGAGACCCATGCAGAAGAGTTTCTTGCTGAACTTCAGCCTCCACCAACTGAAGAAAGTACTTCAAAAATGGCCCCTGTTGACAAACAATCTTCAGTATATGAAGAGACTTCTATTACACAAATCTTTATAAAAGATACTCCTGTTGAAGTCCAGCCTCCACCATCTAAACAAACCTCTGCAAATGAGGCTCTGGTAGAGAATGTGTCTACTGAATATCTAGCTCAACGTACAACAGATGTCCCAGTGGTAAAACTGGAATCAGTGACTTCAGGAAATTTGCCAAAATATGAAGTGCCTTTAGAACTGGATCCTGTTTCTGAAGATTTGTCTAATATCAAGAAAGAACAGGTTTCTACTATTGATATAGAGGGTGATGTCCACATAGAAACAAAATAGGGACCTCTTCCACAGCTGTAGTGTAGTCTTAACTAAGCTAGCTAGCAGAGGCTATGAGGTTCTTGATGTCTATAGGTAGAAAAGGATGGGCATTTGGAAAAATAGCTTTGTGAACAGGGAAATGGAAGGAAATCCCCAAGACGTGGACTGCAGGTTGAAAGTGAACAATAAAAACAAATGATTTACAATTACTTTGTTATTGTCATTCAATCTAGAAGTGTATAAAATGCCTATTTTGAAATGAAGTAACTTTATGACTAAAATATTCTACATTAACCCCTGCTGACAAAGGTAAAGTATAGAGCCACATTTTTTCTTTTTTTTTAGCTGTATTCTCTTTTTTCAGTTCTCTCATTATCTAAAATATTTTACATTAACCCCTGCTGACAAAGGTAAAGTATAGAGCCACATTTTTTCTTTTTTTTTAGCTGTATTCTCTTTTTTCAGTTCTCTCATTTACTTTAAATTCCTTGAGTTTTAGTCGCATACATTAAGTTATGTGGTGTTTTCTTCTTATAATTCATCATATCTCTTCTCTTTCCATTTGATTTCTTCTTGACAAACATGTCTTATTTTCATCCCTATCTTCTTGCATATTTGACATTTCAATGTCTGGATAGAGAAAATTATTTCCATTATAAAAAAATTTATTTCAATAAAGATAACCATGGATGAAGTATTAAAAAATGTGTGTAAGCATAAAGAAAATATACTTAGATGGCCTTTAGGGTATAGTCCTATTTAGTTTTAATTTTATTTCAACTTAGATGAGATGAGTCTTTTCAAAGCTTGCCTTATGTTTTTTGCATTCTGAACTTGCGAAGAAGAGAAACTTAAACTTGGATTACTGTACTATAAGCTATTGATATTTTTAAAGAGTAATTATGGATTATTCTAAGATGTCTGTTATTAAAAGACATCTTGATTTCTATGGTTATGACAACTTTTGGGTAATATTTTGTCTAGCTACAATTCAGTTGCAATGATGATGTGATAAAGTGCTTAAATGATAAAATGATTCTCTTAAACTTTTAATTTGTTAGGTCTATTTCTCTGTTTAGTGAAAAGTTTAAGTTGATGATTCCATATCTTGTTAAGTGTTGATGCCCTATAATTATTAGATTTTTCTCACACTGTTCATTACCTCTGTAACCAAGAATATGTGATATGTTAGTGAGTTTTTCAGAATTTTATGAAAATTTTTGTAAGCATGTTTGTCTTGATATCCACGGGGGACTGGTTTCAGGACCCCTCACAGATAACAAAATCCTGTGAACGCTCAAGTCCTTTATGTAAAATGTAGTACAATGCAAATAGTTGGCTCTCCATATCTGTGGGTTCCCAATTATAGATTGCAAATACTGTTTTTGATCACTGTTGGTTAAGTTTGCAGATGTAGAGCCCACAGATATAGAAGGTTGACTGTATGCTTTTTTTTTTTTTTTTTACACTATGTGCTGGATTTAAAGTTAAGAAACATTCTAGACTTGAATGAAGGTTTTTATATTTTTCGATATTCCAAGTCATTTTTATTTTGTGTTCTTAGATACTTAATTAAAATCCAGTTATTTATTTTTCTAAATTTGAAAGTTTGTTTGTTTGTTTTTTCTATTTTAGGGATACTATTGTGGCTTCTTTTCTGTTTGTAAAACGTTATTTTGGATTTCTTTTTTTTTCTCCAGCTTTTTTGAGATATAACCAACATTACATTGTGAAGTTTAAGGTGTACAATGTGTTCATTTGATAACATGTAATATTGCAAAATAATTCTCACAATGAGGTTAGTTAACACATTCTTCATCTCACCTAATTACAATTTGTGGGGGAGGAAAAGGTGATGATGAGACAATTTGGTACATTAGATGCCTAGAACTTACTCATTTTATAACTGGAAGTTGTACTCTTTAACCATTATCTCCCATTTCCTCTACCTCCTAGCCCCTAGGAACAGCCATTCTACTTTTTGTTTCTATGAGTTTGTAGATTCCACATATAAATGATATCATACAATATTTTTCTGTCTTTACCTGACTTATTTCATTTAGTTTAATCCATGTTGTCACCAATGGCAGTATTTTTTTTTTTTTAAATTATGGCTAAATAATGTATCATTGTGTATATATACACCACATCTTCTTTAATCGTTCATCTACTGTTGGTCATTTGGGTTGTTTTATATCTTGGCTATTACGAATCATGCTGTAATGAACATGGAAGTACAGATATCTCTCTGAGATAATTTTATTTTATTTGGATATGTATTCAGAAGTAGGATTGCTGGATCATATGGTAATTCCATTTTTAAGTTCTTGAGGAAGATTAATGCTATTTTCATAATGGCTGTACCAGTTTACATTCCCACCATCAGTGTTCAAAGGTTTTCATTTTTCCTTTCTAGCATCTGTTATTATTTAATAATAGACATCCTAACAAGTGAGACAATATCTTATTGTGGCTCCAATTTGCATTTCCCTGGTGATTAGTGACGTTGAGCACCTTTTCATGTATCTGTTGGCCATTCGTATGTCATCTTTGGAAAAATATCTATTCACGTCTTTTTGTTCATTTAAATTGGGTTATTGGTTTTCTTGCTATTGATTTGTGTGAATTCTTTGTATATTTTTGGATATTAACTCGTTATACAATATTGTTTGCAAATATTGTTTCTCTCATTTCATAAGTTGTGTTTTCATTTTGTTGATGGTTTCTTTTAATTGCTCAGAAGCTTAATTTGATGTAGTTCCACATGTTTGTTTCTGTTTTTGTTGTTGTTGTTGTTGTTGTTTTTGCTTTTAGTGTCAAATCCAGAAAGATTGCCAAACCAATGTTAAGATACTTACTCCCTATTTTTTTCTTCTAGGAATTTTATGGTTTCAGGCCTTACAGTCAAGTTCTTAATCTACTTTGAGTTGATTTTTGTGTATGGTATACAATAAGGGTTCAGTTTCATTCTTTTGCATGTGATTATCCATTTTTTCCAGCACTATTTATTGAATAGACTATCTTTTCTCACTGTATTTTTTGTATCTTTGTTAAAAATTAATTCACTATATATGCATGAATTCATTTCTGGGCTTTCTACTCAAATTGATCTATGTATCCATTTTGATATCAATAACATACTGTTCTAATTATTATAGCTTTGTAGTATAGTTGAAAGTCAGGAACTGTGATACTTACACCTTTATTTGTCTTTTTCAAAATTGCTTTGGCTCTTTGGGGTCATTTGTGGTTACACGTGAATTTTATTTTTTAATTTTTAAAAATATTTTTTAATTTTTAATTACTGTTGACATACAATATTGCATTAATTTTAGGTGTACAACATAATGATTAGACATTTATATAACGTTCGAAGTTATCACCCCAGTAAATCTAGTACATATCTGACACCATATATAGTTATTATAATATTATTGACTATATTCTCTCTGCTGTACTTTATATCCCTATGACTATTTTGTAACTACCAATTTGTACTTCTCAATCCCTTCTCCTTTTTCCTGACTTACAACCCCCTCTTATCTGGCAACCATCAAAATGTTCTCTGTATCTGTTTTTTTCTTTTTTGTATGCTTGTTTATTTGTTTTTTAGATTCCACATATAAGTAAAATCACATGGCATTTGTCTTTCGCTGACTTCTTTCATTTAGCGTGATTCCCTCTAGGCTAGGTCCATCATGTTGTTGCAAATGGCAAGATTTCATTTTTTTTATGAATAATATTCTATTGCTTATATTTACCACTTTTTTATTCATTCATCTATTGATGGACACTTAAGTTGCTTCCATGTCTTAGCTATTGTAAATAACACTGCGATGAACATAATAGTGCATATATCTTTTTAAATTAGTGTATTGGGTTTCTTTGGATAAATACCCAGAAGTGGCATTATTGGATCCTTCTTTGTCTATTGTTATCGACTTTGTTTTAAAGTCTATTTTTTTCTGATGTAAGTATTGCTACTTCAATTTTTTTTTCTGTTTGCATAAAATATCTTTTTCTGTCCTTTAAATTATAGTCTGTGTGTCTTTCCATCTGAAGTGAGTCTCTTGTAGGCAGCATATGTAAGAGTCTTATTTTCTTATCCATTCAGCCATACTGTCTTTTGATTGGAGCATTTAATCCATTTAAATTTAGAGTAAGTGTTGATAGATATGTAGTTATTGCCATTTCATTATTCATATTTTTTATCTTTTTCTCCGCCCCCCCCCCTTTTTTTAAAAGAAGTCCCTTTAACATTTCTTGTAATACTGGTTTGAGGTGATGAACTCCATTAGCTTTTTCCTGTTTGGACAGCTCGCTATCTTTTAATTCTAAATGAAAACTTTGCTGGGTAGAGTAACCTTCATTATAAGTCCCCACTTTTTATCACTCTGAATATTTTTTGCCAATCCCTTCCGGTCTGCAAATTTTCTTTTGAGAAATCAGTTGACAGTTTTATGGGAGATCCCTAGTAGGTAACTAACAGCTTTTCTCTTGCTGCATTTTAGACTCTCTCTTTGTCTTTAGTCTTTGGTATTTTAATTATAATGTGTCTTGCGATGGGCCTCTTTGGTTTCATTTTGTCAGGACCCTTTGAGATTCCTGGACTTGTATGTCTATTTCCTTCATCAGGTTAGGAAAGTTTTCCATTATTATTTCTTCAAATAAGTTTTCAATTCCATGCTCTTTCCATATGATGTAAATATTGGTATGCCTGATGTTGTCCCAGAGGTCCCTTAAACTATCCTCATTTGGGGGGATGTTTTTCCTGTTGTTATTCTTATTGGATGTTTTCTGCTACCTTATATTCCAAATCACTAACTCAATCATATACTTCATCTAATCTGTTGATTTCCTTTAATGTGTTCTTTATTTCAGACTTGTTCTTTCTTATGTTTTCTAACTTCATGTTTTGTTTCCTATTTCTTTGTTGAAGTTCTCACTGAGATCACGGAGCATCCTAATAACCAGGGTTTTGAACTCTGCATCTGGTAGATTGCTTCTCTCCATTTTAT